AATAAAACAGAGCTTCTGAATTCACAAAGCTGAGGATCAAAGCACCAGCGTGACCTTCTCAAGATGAACAAATCCATAAGGCTCAGTTTAAAACAGTCTTTAGTTTACTTTTGCCTCACCCATACACTCTCAAGCAATCAACTAGTATTTACTAAGTGTCCAATATATGACAGGCACAACACTAGGCATTATTCTACAATGAGAGAGAGAAAACGAGTTGAAATAATATTTTTGAGCATCTAATACATGTCAGGCACTGTGGCAGATGTTTTCCATTTGCAATCACATTTGATACTCTCCTTAATACATACAATTATTATTCTCTCTCCACAGGGTATAGGATCTTGCCCAGTCCTGTGCCATTTTCATGATCATTAGTATGCTTTAAGTCTATTGTTGTGCCTATTGTGTACTGCATTTCAACCTAGGGGGCTCATCTTCCAGCATTATATCGGACAATATTCTGTTGAGATCCGTAGGGTTTTCACTGGCTAATTTTTGGCATCACTAGGCCTTTCTTTCTAGTATGAATATACCCTCATTTAGCCAAGCATTCCACTACTTAAGGATATTTAAACCATTTCCAATTTTTTTTTGCCACTACAATCCATGTGCCAATAAGCATCCTTATTCAAATATTCTTGCATATTGGTGCTTTTGTTTTCATATGATCGACAGACCTTGGGGACTGTTTCTCTCCTTAGATCACTCTGAAAAATGAGATTTAGCACTGATTACATCTCAGGAACTTTTCTAAATGTTTCACATATATTATCTCATTTAATCTTGACACAACCCTATGAGATATTATTATTACCCCTATTTTAAGAATGATAAAATTAAGGTAAATAACCTACCCAAGGTCATTAGTTAGTATTGGTGGATAAGAGATTTGAGAGTTTAAATAACTTGCCCAAAGTCACTAGGTAGTAAGTGGCAGATAAGAGACTCGAACCCAGGTAGTCTGGCTACCAAGCCCATGCTCTTGAAACGACCCTTACCCACATTGCCAAATTACTTCCCAGAGGCTGCAGCCATTGGCAGCCCTTCCAGGATGACTTCTGTAATCAGCCAAAGGCATCCCTTGCACCATGGAATGGCTTATCTAATGATGGTATCAACACCAGGCAGTGTGCTGCATCAGGTGCACAGATGGCTATCTTGTTTGCAAACACAGCTAAGTGCCTTCCCTACCTTCTGAAAAGCCTTTTATAATGTAGAGTTTTGTTACCTTGGGGACAGTCTCTCTCCTTAGATTACTCATAGCAGTTGGGACCAAGAGATGAATATGTATTGTTAGTGAATGGGATGCAGAATATTGTATTAGGACAGGGTGTCTCTGCTAACAGCTTCCAGATTTACATTTCAGAGAAGCAGGAACTGGGAATTTTCCATTCATGGCTTATGTTGTTAAAATTCTTATTAAAAAGTCTCCAGTCTTTTGATGTTTACAGAATGAAGTAACTCCTTTCTCCCCTCTCAAAACCAAAATTTCCCAAACTGATTAAAATTATAATGGCATACTACTGTTTTTATGCTTCTTATTAATTTTATATACTTTTCCCAAAAGTGTCTCAATCTGCAATAGAGCTCTGGGGACTTAAGCAAAAGGTGTGGTTTTTACTAATCAAATAAATGAACCAAATTAAACTAGACAATCTGGAACTATTTTTCTTTTCCCCTCCCTTTGGAGCAATAAAACTTAAGGGTATGATATTGCATTTTGGCTCCTACGGTGAGAGAGGAGTGAGAAAGAAAAATGCTAAATATTGTCCTGAGTTCAGCATCATATTTTAGGAGAGAGGCAGTCAGAGACACAATGGGATGATCACAGAGCCCTGGAGGAGAATCTATTGCAGCTAACAGTGAGTGTGTGGGTGGTGGTTTGGCAGAGAGAACAGTTTTGGTTTTATGTCTCAAGAAAGGCAGCTTGAGGTGCTGAATGTTAAAGATCCTCATTATGATAATAAATATTTTGCAAAACCCACAGAAACACTACTACTGGTCTAGCAATGTCTCTGGAGTGACCTAAGGTTGCGCTGGCACCATTGCCCCTCTGGTGGCAAGTCAGGATTATGCAAGAGTGCTTCTGGGAAAACAGATTGAAATGATTTGTGCTGAAAATCCCTTACCTACA